TATTTTTTTATAAAGATAATAATTAAACATTCTGTTAGAACTTAATGATTATCTTAATTATATTTTAGATTTTCTTTATTTAAAATTAATATTTATCCTATATTTGATTATGTTTATCTGTAGTTAGTAACATGAATTTTAAAATGGAGCTTTAATAAGTTGTACTTACGCAAAATTACTTGTAATCTTGAATAAACAGTACTTCATGCATAAAAAATGGGTTTTAAGAGTTTTTGTCAAATATTTTATAATATAGTATAGATWTGCATTCGCACATTTACACAAATACCCATGTAGTTGCAGATTGGCCCATATCTTTGCAAATGTTGAAATTTAATCAGAAGAACATGAACGGAAACAGGGAAGGAGTAACATACGATTTTGTTTTCATGCTCTACATGGTGATACTGGCGCCATATAGCATGATACATATATCTTTAAAATGATTTGAAATCATCGTTTAATTAATTTATATAGCTGACAGATAAGATCAAGRTGCTTGGTTTAGATGGAGTCGATTTGGGTCGAATAAGTGCAAGTAGTATAAAGTGTGGAAGCAAGAAGAATTTCAGATATATTGGGTCTCTTACAACTCCTCCATGCGATGAGGATGTCATTTGGACAATTACAGATAAGATTAGACCGGTTGCTGCGGACCAAGTCAAACTATTGAAARAAACAGTTAAACCTGTAAGTCTTGTTTTTTAATCCTTGTTCTAGAATTTTCAATCAGAATAATCAGAGTTTTACGATTAATTCGATCAAACCATAAAGCATCGTTTTATTTTTTTTGCTTATTTTTAAGCAATTGTTGGAAATAATTGAATTTGATAAGTTACAATGTATATGTCATCTTATTAAGCCATCTTATTCAAGACATGTCTTAGGCTATSTTTGACAAACTAAGTGATAAATTAGCTGATGGTTGATAAGTTAGTTGTAAGCTCACTACTACTTCAACTACTCTCGAGACATCCATTACAACAAAATTGTGTTTGTAAGACATAAA